TTGTTTTGGTACCAGGGTTTGAACTCGGGTCCTTGCACTTGCAAGGCAGGCCACTGAACCGCTGAGCTAAATCCCCAGCCCTCAATAAATATTTTTAAAAGGTCTGGAAGCTCAGGCAGGAGAATCAGAAGTCCCAGTCGAGCTTGGGCAATTTAGCAACTTACGGAGACCATGTCTCAAAATAAAAAATAAAAAGGACCAGTGTTGTGGCTCACTGCAAAAGCCCTAGATTCAACCCTCATACTGGGGTGGGGGCTACTAAATGGATGGGCCAGAGATTTAGCTCAGTGGTTCCACCACCTGCTTCGCCAGCACAAGGTCCTGAGTTTGATCCCGGGCACACACACACACACACACACACAATTAAATACAAGAAAACTGATAGAAACATGGCCACAGAGAGCATTGGCTTCACATCAGCATCTAATTTCCCAAAGCCAGGTTAATCCTACTGAACTTTTTTGTTTTGTTTTGTTTTTTGAGACAGGGTCTCACTATGTAGTTGAGACTGACCTGGAATTCACTATGTAGCCCAGGCTGGTCTCAAACTCACAGTGATCCTCCTGCCTCAGCCTCCCGAGTGCTGGGATTACAGGCGTGCGCCACCATGCCTGGCTCTTTTTTTTTTTTTTTTACTGTGGCTCTCTTCACTAGTCTCCTCTTTTCTCTCCAAATTTCCTTCTCTGCATCTGCTTCCTTCTTTTTGAGAACTACCTTGGCAACCCCAAGTTCTCTGCCCTTGTTTCTCCCTCCAGCCTCTCCCCCGCCCCTGCTTACTTTTCCCTGGCATCTCCACTCAGTACCCTTTGAGCTCAGAGCTTCATTTTTTACAAAACAGAGATTGACTTCTCAGTGGGGATTATTTTTGCTAAGTGGTTGGTGAGTACAAGCAACAACTGGCATAGAAGTGAGTTCAGTGTAGGGGGTTGGAGTTCTAAGTTAGTCCAAGTGATACATTCAGAGAAAAAAGACATCCAGAAGTGTTGGAGTTATAAAGGAGCTGAAGGGTACATTTGCATGGCAGTATCTGAGAAGGCCGCAGTACTGAGCCATTTTTTTACTATTTTAGGAGTAAATGAATCAAGTCTAGGAAAGAGGAGGGGTGAGGTTTCAGGGGATGAAGGGAGAATGTGATTTTCAATAGACCCCAGATTCCCAAATCCTATCCAGCACTCTTTTTTGGGGGGAAGGTACTGGGGATTGAACTTGCGACCTTCCACTTGCAAGGCAGGCGGCAGCACCACTGAGCTAAATCCCCAGCCCCTATCCAGCACCCTTGAACCTGGATTTTGCTACCAAACAATTCCATAATTCACAGCATCTCTTCTTAATCTAGCACTACCACTCTCAGCCAGTTACCTCTGACTTCATGGTACTCAGCCATCTCTACTTAACCTGTACTCTGGACTTCCAGGTACACCCCCACTTAGCTGGCTGTCTTCTAGAGCAAGCTGTCTTGCTCCCCAAATCAGAAAAAGTTCTTTCATATGTACAACCATCTGATGGGTTTTACTTCAGGTAACCCAGGTCCCTTGGACACAGAGCACCACTGGTTTTTTCAGGATCCAGCCTTCTAGAAGCATATTGCTGCCTGGGATACACATGCCAGGCATAGAGCCAGGGTTCCAGAGCTGGACCTTTCACTCATTCTGTGGTTTGGGCACTTCCCTTGGCTTTCGAGTTTAAGGCCATAACAATTCTTCTCATACTAGTTCATGTTTGTTTTCTCTGCTCTTTTTGAAAAATGGGGAAGATTATTAGCTTTAGCAGCTGGATTCAGGGACTAGGAAGCAGGGGAAAGCAGCTTTCTTGCCCTCGTTAGTAGTATTATGCTTGTAGTGTTTGTAGCAATGATTGCCAGATATAATGGGATGAGGAACCAGTTAGACATGTCCAGAACTAATGACATAGCCATAACTAATCTGTAATGCCAAACCACAAAACATGACTGTAGTGCACATGCCATTAGCTTGGAAGTTTTCAAATATATGCCTTTCCCCCATTTCATTGACTACAAAATATAAAACTGAAAGAAATAGAGCTGCTTTGATAGAATGGCAAGGGGATAGAGAATTTTCTGCTGTGCCTTGCCCATTCCTATGAGATCCCAGAGACATCTGTACACAGAGCATCAAGGATTCATTTCAAAAAAAAAATGTTTTGCAGTGCTGAGGATTGAGCCCAGGGCCTTACACATGCTAGGCAAGCACTCTACCACATGGTCATACCTCCAGCCCAAAGATTCCTCAATGTAAAAAACTACCAATTTAATCTAACCTTCTTAACTGGGCTTGGTGACACACACTTGTAATCCCTGCACCAGGGAATCTGAGACAGTGTGAGTTCAAGGCCAGCCAGGACTATATAACAAAGCCCTGTCTCAAAATCATCATCATCATCCATCATCATCATCATCATCATCATCATCATCATCATCATCATCATAATCATATCTAACCTTCTCTTGTAGGTGAGGAGACTGAAGCCAAAGGAAAACAAGAGAGTTGGTCAGGGTCACACACTGATTTATGGTGAAATCTCAATTATAACCCATATTTAACTTCTCAACCAGTGCTTTTTCCTGAGAGGCCTTGTTGTCTTGGGGTTCTCCCTAGGAAGAGCATCAGTAATGTCAGCTCTATGAATGCAGGGGAGGATTGGAAGTGCCCTCTACTACAAACCCACTTAGTGTGTGTCCAAGGCTATATATCCCCATACCCACCTCATTCCCTCAAAAGCCTAAGTAGCTGTTGGTTGCCTTCATAGTTGATTTGGTCCTCCTGGAAAAAATCTGAGTGAATTACAAGTATTGTAATTTTTCCCCACATAATTAGATAATTTTGCCTTTTTGTAAACTTGATCTTGGCCATCCCAACCTCCCCACCTTCCTGCATGCATAGGTCAGTGAGTGAGGATGCCTTAGCCATTTACCCATGGATGAGGTAAAAAAAAAAATTGCTTTTATTCTTTGCTCGACTCCATGCAAACTAAGATGAACAGTAAGAATAGTTCCTAATTTCCATTTTATTAACTTCTTAGATCTGGTCCTTCAGGAAAAAAAAGAATGGGCTAAGGAAATGATTGAACTGGAAAATATGAAAGAAGTCTCAGGGAGACGCTGGAGTAGGACAGGGTGGAGGAAAAATAAGAACAGCAAAGAAAGGGGCTCCAAAAGGCCTCAAACCTGGCCTTTTCTTCTTTCTCTGTGATGCCTGAGGAGCTGGGCTGGGGCATGGGGGGCATACCCAGACCACCCTCCAATCCTGTAAGTCTACCTCACTTCCCCCACCCCCAGAAAAGGTCTTGATATCTTGTCCAGGCTAGTCCCAGGACTTCTGAGCTCAAGGGTTCTTCCTATTACTGAGTTTCTTGTTGTTCTGAACAAAGATTTGAGCAGGACACCCAAAAGATCAAAGATTTACTGAAACGAAAAGTACACTCCGAAGGGGTGAGCCAGTGAGAGGAGCTCTTGGCCCCAAGAAGGTTTGGTGCAAAGGGTTTTAAATAATAAGGTTTGGGGTGGGATTGAAAGGTTGGTCTGAGGTTTGACTCCTGACAATGGGCTGCTTGGTTTAGACCCCTCCACTATGCAGTGGAGTTTTTGACCTCTTTGCACCCTTGGAGGAACTGTCAACGACACAGTAATTAATTAGGCCTGGGTGGGCCAGGGGTTGCTGCAGATGACTGGGCACATGCACAAGAAACTAATTGTTTATAAGCTGGGTTACCTGCTTAATTTTGCTCATTGTATTTAGAACTGGATATCCTGGGCCTGGCCTAATGTTTAACTCAGAAGGTGGATCGAACTCGGAAAGCAGGCTCCCAGACGGACCTCCCTCCTTTTTCCAGCTATTTCCTTAACTACTTTCTGCCTCAGCCTTCTGTATAGCTATATTCCACACCATAGGGCATGGATCTACCTTTCTATTTTTGTGGCTCCTTAAACTTCCTAGAGCTTCTCCAAACTATCTCTGAATCTCCAGGGCCAAGGACAGACTTCACAGAGAACAGGTATTGACATACTTTTTAAAAGGACATTCCTGAGACTAACAGTCAAATTGTCAGCTTAGCCAACAGTTTGCGCAGCCCTTCCCAGAAAAGATTCTCAATCGCGCCGCCTCGGATGTTCTTAATTCTAGGCAGCATAGAAGCCACTATACTATGGCCAGTCTAGAGAGGAGGAATAGCCAGTAGCCACGTAGCGATCAATCCGAGGCTAGAGTTCAGCCACAAGACCTCCGCATCTCCGCGGGACCTCACGTGGGGCCTGCCGGAAGTTGTAGTCCTGCGCCCAGGCAGCCCACGGCACAGAACTACAATGACCGGCGGGCGCCGCGCTCAGCGCCCCCTTTTCCTGCAGCCCGGAACGCAGGGGAGGTTCAGTGGACCTGATAGCTGAGAGACGATTATGTCGGCCACTCTGGGCAACGGGGAGCGCTGGACTGAAGGTACCAGGACCTGAACGGAGGGTAGAACGAGGCAGCATTCCGGAGAGATAAGGCGCATAATGGCTGAGATCCCGGTCCTGAGGTGAAGGATGGAGGCCTGTGAGAGGCTAAGCCTGAGCGGGGTTCTGGCTGCTGGGCGAGATCGCCTAGGGCAGATGCCGGGATCCGTAACCGGGACGGTGGATAGAGCTGGAGCTACGGCCTGGAGCCCAGTCACCGGTGACAATTTGTTGCCTCCGGCCCCCAGCCCCGCCCCCGCCCGAACCCCGCCTAGGGCCATCTGGCGCTGGCAGCGCGGATGGACTGGACCGCCGGGAACGTTGCCTGTGGCCTCGCAGCGGGCTTTCCCTTCCCTGCCTTTATCGTTGACTCCCTCAAACTGGGCCTCCTGACACGCAGTCCCAATTTGATCTTGTCTGTGCAGCCACATCAGGACCAATAGGTTGTTTTTTTCCAACCTGTGGTCAGGCAAAAAGTATTGATCCAATACGTTTTATGTGCCCCCCATTTTGCTAGTCCTGCAGTAGGGATTTGATAGACATAGGCCTCTGAGTTCACAGAATTGTCAGTCCCTTAAAAGGGTGTGATGAGTGAACACAGCAGGTAGTGGGGTTGGGGCAGTACACCGACAAGGCACACTGCACAGCCTGAGTGTCAAGGGGTCAAGGGAGGCTTCAATAAGAAAGTGTTCCGTAGTATGACGTGAAGGATGTGAGTTAATCAAGATGACTTAAAGGAAGAGTGTCAAGGAACAGGGGGTAGTCACAGGGACATTAAACTGGACGAAGTGTTTTTTTTTTTTTTAATTTAATTTATTGGTACATTCTAGGTAGACAGTACAGTTACATTCATTACTGGGAACTTTCCAGCCCTTTAACATTTTTTATTTCAAGACAGCATCTTGCTGAGTTGTCCAGGCTGGCCTTGAACTAATCCTCCTGCCTCAGCATCCCAGAGTACTGGATTTACAGGCATGTGCCACCACTCTTGGCTAGGAAGATGTTGCCATTTTGCAGTATTGGGGAATGAAATCAGGGCCTTCTTGCTAAGCTACATCTCCAGCCCTTTTCTTTATTTTGAGACAGGGTCTTGCTAAATCACTACATTGCTCAAGCTGGGCCCAAACTTTTGAGTCTTCATCCTTCAGCCTCCCAGAGTGCTGGGATTACAGGTGTGTGCCACCATTCCTGGCTAGAAAGATGTTTTTTTTTTGTTTTTTGTTTGTTTGTTTTATACGGGGATGAAACTCAGGACCTTGTGCTTGTGAGGCAGGCATGGTGCCCCTCAGCTAAACCCCCAGCCCTGGTTTTTGTTTTTTAAGACAGAGTGTCTCTATATAGTCAAGGCTAGCCTTCAACTCACTGTGTAGCCTAGATGGCCTTGAACTCATGGCAGTCTTCCTTCCTCAGCCTCCTGAGTGATAGGATTAGAGGTGAGTACTACCACACCTAGCTGAAAGATGGGTTTTTTTTTTGTTTTTTGGTTTGTTTTTTTGGGTACCGGGGATCAAACTCAGGTCCTTGCGCTTGCAAGGCAAGTGGCAGAACCGCTGAGCTAAATCTCTGGCCCCTTGAAAGATGGTTTTAAAGCCTTTCCCAGATCCTCCAGACAAGGTGTAAGTGCTCTGCTCTCTTTGACTAGATTGCATGTAACCTTCTTTACATTCTACAAAGATTTTAATTTCTCTTTCCTTAAATTATAACCTAATTTTTAGCCCGGCGTGGTGGCACACACCTGTAATCCCAGCACTTGGGAGGCTGAGGCAGAAGGATTGCTGTGAGTTCAAGACCAGCCTGAGCTACATAATGAGTTCCAAGTCAGTCTCAACTACATAGTAAGACCCTGTCTCAAAAAACAACCCCCCCCTCAAAAAAATAAAAAAACAAAACAAAACAAAAAAAAAAACCTATAACCTCTTTGTGGTCAACAACAGGCCTTACTCATATATCTCCCTGATCTACTGATCCAAGGGTCTTAGTGCATATTAGGTCTATAGCTGTTAGTTTAAAATAGTTAAACTCTTCTCTTTAAATCATATGGATGGGAGATATTTTGTAACAAAAAGTATTATTTTATAAGCAGTGTCACTTCTGACTGGAGCACAGAGAAATAGGCTTTTTCCTATACTGCATTAAAGGCAGGGTATTGGGCAGATGCTCCTTGAGCCCCCTTCCTCACACATGTGATACTGGGGATTGAACCCAAGACCCTCCCACTCAGCTACAACCCCAGTCTGTTTTTCATTTTGTTTATTTGAGACAGGGTCACACTGTATAGTGCAGGCAGGTCTTGAACTCACAGTGTAATTCAGGCTGGCCCCAAACTCATGCGGATCCTCGTGGCTCGGCCTCCTGAGTGCTGGGGTTACAGGTGTGCAGCACCATGCCTGGCTTTTTTTTTGGTACCAGGGATCAAACTCAGGTCCTTGCAGGCAGGCAGCGGACCACTGAGTTAAATCCCTGGCCCTGGCTTTTATTTTTTACGGCTAGGTCTCACCACGTCACTAAGTTGCTCAAGCTGAACTCAGACTTGCAGTTCTTCTGCTTCAGCCTTCCAAAGTGCTGGGATTACATGCTGGCTTCCTTTTCTGTCTCTACATCAAGATCATATGATGACTGACCCCTGTAAATATGGTGGACTTGTGCTTCATGTTTCTGGCTTTTATACATTTTCCTTAGGTGATACCCACATTTCTGTGTAGTTTTCTCAGGGAAATGTTTATTCAGCTTTGTACGGATGTTTAAAAGTAAGCATCATGTCGTCCTGTTCTTTGCACTCACCTACTTATGCCAAAAAGCACTCTCCAAGAGTGAAGGCAGATAATAAGTTGATTTTCGGGATCAAATGGAGGCCTAATGGAGGAGCTATTGCTTTACAGCTTACATTGATGCATTTAGAAGAAACAAATACCCGGAAGACAGACCTCCTGAGAGTCACGAGCCCTGTGGTTGCTGTGATTGTATGAAGGCACAAAAGGAAAAGAAGTCTGAGAATGAGTGGAATCAGACCCAGCAGGGTGAGGGCAGCTCCACTTATACTGAGGAACAGCTGCTTGGGGTACAAAGGTAAGCACATGGTGGGATGAAACAATTGTTTCATGTAAAGTGCTTAGAAGAGTGCCTGGCACAGAGGATGTGCTATGTAAGAACTGACTGCTGCTGCTACTGTTACTGTTGTTGTTGTTGTTATTATTGAAGGACAGTAACTTCTTTTTTTGTTTTTTGTGACAGTGTCTTGCTGTGTAGTTCAGGCTGATCTTGAACTCACTGTGTAGTCTACACTGGCCTCAAACTCACTATGATCCTCCTGCTTCACATTCTCAAGTGCTGAGATGACAGGTGTGCATCACCATGCCTGGCACAAAGCACAATCGCTTCCTGACCTCAGAGGGAAGACAGGGTAGAAGTGCAGTATTAGAGTATAATGTGAGCTAGCTGGTAAGCCTGCTTCAGTTTTAAAAGAGGCAGGGGTAACCACCTAAATATGACACACAACCGTAGAACATTCTTTCCAACAGCCATGACATGCATATTCTTCTCAAGGACACATGGTACATTTCTGGGATAGACCACATCTTAGGCCATAAAATGAACATCCATAAATTTTAAAAGATTAAAATCATGCAATGTATGTTCTCTGAAATTAATAACAGAAGGAAGTTGAGAAATTCACAATTGGTGGAAATGAATCCACAATTCTCAAAATCTGATAGCCAGGGCTTTAGCTCAGTAGTGCAGGGCCTGCCCTCCAAGCACAAGGTCCTGAGTTCAATCGCAAATACCAAAAAGATACTGAAATTTAGAAATGCTTTAAAATGAATGAAAATGAAAATACAACATATCAAAAATATATGAGATACAGCTAGAGAAGTGCTTATAAAGAAATTTATTACTGGGCCGGGGATTTAGCTCAGTGGTTCTGCCACCTGCCTCGCAAGGGCAATCCACGGTACCAAAAAGAAAATAGAAATTTATTACTATAAATGCTTGTAAAAAAAAAAAGGAAAACCTCATCAGTGACCTACTCTTCAACATTAAGAAACTAGAATAAAGCTGGGCATGGTGGCACATATCTGTAATCCCAGCATGTTGGGAGGCTGAGGCAAGAGGTTCAAAAGTTCAAGCCCACCCTGAGTTTCTTAGTGAGACCCTGTCTAAAAATAAAAAGTCAGGGCTGGGGATTTAGCTCACTGGTTCTGCTGCCTGCATCAAAAGTGCAAGGTCCTGAGTTCAATCCCCAGTACCAAAAAATAAAAATAAAATAAAATAAAAATAAAAAATATAAAGGGGTAAGGATGTAGTTCAGTGAGAAGACCCTAAGTTTAATTCCCAGTAGTAATTCTACCCCAAGTACAAAAAGAACAAGTTAAACCTATACAAGCAGGATAAAGGAAATAACACAGAGTAGAAATAAATGAAACAATATACAAAAACAGCCAATAAAATCATAAGTTGGGGCCAGGGATTTAGCTCAGTGGTTCCACCACCTGCCTCTCAAGTACAAGGACCCGAGTTCTATCCCTGGTACCAAAAATAATTAATTAATTAATTAAAATAAAATTATAAGTTGGTTCTTTCAGAATATCAACAAAATTGACAAACCTTTAGAGATAGAATGACCAAGTACAAAAAGAATAGACTCAAATCAGGAGTAAAAAAGGGGATATTACTATCAATCTTATGAAAATAATAAAGATTATAAGAGAATACTATGAATAATTATATGCCAACAAATTTAATAACCTAGATGAAATGGACAAACTCCTAGGAAGATATAAACTTGAAACCGAATCAAGAAAAAAAAATTGAAAATTTGGGTAGATCCACAACAAATAAGAGATTGAATTAATAATTTAAAAACTTCCCACAAGCAGTGGGGCATGGTGACACGTGCCTACAATCCCAGCTACTTGGGAGGCTAAGGCACGAAGACCACAAGATGGAGGTCAGCCAGTACAACTTAGCAAGACCCTATCTCAGAATAAAATGAAAGGACTGAGGATGCAGCTAGGCAGTAGAGCACTCACCTAGCATGGCAAGGTTCTGGGTTTAATCCGAGTAGCTCCCTAACCCAGAAAGAAATATTTTTTGTTAATAAAAAGAAATGAAGTACTGTTACATACTACAATACATGTGAACCTTGAAAACATGCTGAGTGAAAGAAGCTTGACACAAAAGGTCACATATTATATAATTCTTTTTACAAGAAATAATCAGAATAAGCAAATCTATAGAGATAAAAGTAGATTAGTGGTTGCCACGGCTAGAGGAGGGGAAGTAGGAATAACTCCTAATCCGTATGAAGTTTCTTTTAGGAGTGATGAAAAAAAATATTTTTTTTTGGAGTTTTGAGACAGGGTCTTGCTATGTAGTTCAGGCTGCCCTTCAAACTCCTGGTGATCCTCTCGCCCAGCCTCCAAAGTGCTGGTATTACAGGTGTGCGCCACGACGCCCATTGAAAAATAGTCTGAAATTAGATAGACGTAATGAATACACAACTCTATAAATAGACCCCCAAAAAAACACTGAATTGTACATTTTAAAAAACATAACTTTATGACCTGAGTTATTTCTCAATGAAGTTCTCATAAAACAAATTTAAGAGAGCAAGAGTGAAGAGGGTCAGGGGAAATGAGAATCTGCCATTGAAACAGTTGAAATTGGGAAACTGGGAAGCTCTTTAGGAAGAGACCTGTTTGATATAGATCCTGCATTATAATTCAGCTTGTGTTACTGACTTATAGCAACTTTTATGTTCTTTTTTATTTTTTGGTACCGAGGATCAAACTTGGACCCTTGCGCTTGCGAGAGCAGGCAGGAGAGCCACTGAGCCAAATTCCCAGCACAACTTACAGCAGTTTTTATTTATTTACTTACTTATTTACTTATTTATTTATTTATACCAGGGATTGAACTCGGGTCCTTGCACTTGCAATGCAGGCCACTGAACCACTGAGCTAAATCCCGGCTGGAGCAGCTTTTCTTTATTTATTTTTTATTTTGGTACCAGGGATTGGACGCAGGCCCTTGCGCTTGCAAGGCAGGTGCCGGAATCACTGAGCTAAATCCCCAGCCCCCCACACAGCTTTTAAAAGAATGAAGTAGATATGATGATAGCTAGTTTATTTATTTATTTATTTGGTATCAGGAGTTGAACCCAGGGCCTAGTGCATTCTAGGCAAATGCACTGCCACTGAGCTATGTGGTCTTGCTAAGTGGCCCAGGTTAGCCTTAAACTTTTAGATTTTCCTGCCTCAGCCTCCTGCGTAGCTGGGATTACAGGCATGTGCCGTGGCACTTAGCCACTAACGTTTATTTAGTGTCACTTGCTATCAAGTGCTTTGATACTTTATTTAATCATAACATCTTTAATTTTTATTTTATTAGTACATGTTTACAGTATATAATGATTGTATTAATCATAACATTAATTCTGAAATGTAGGTATAATTATTAGCCCATTTTGGAAGATAACAGTAAGGTACAGAGGTTAAGTATAAAGCAGGATCAAATCCAGATGAAGGAATGTTTGACCAAGAGTTCATACAGTAGTCCACTAATTCTCAAACAGTGATTTGAGAATCCCAAAACCTTCCCAGGGAAATCTACAAGTTTAAAACTATTCCATAATAAGCTGGATGTGGTATTGCACATCTGTAATTCCAGCACTCTTAGAAAGTGAGGCAGGAAAATCAAAAGTTTGAGCCCAGCCTGGGCAATTTAGCAGCTTAGAGAGACCCTGTCTCAAAATAAAAATATAAAATAAAAGCAAAGGCTGATGATATAGTCAATGAGAAAGCACTGGGTTTAATCCCTAGCACAAAAAAGAAAAAAAGCTTGTTCAAACAATACAAACATAAATGAAAAAATGGAAATAAAGTATTTGTAAATGGGGAGGGGGGGAAGGCAGGGGTAAGGGGAAAAAATGAGAACCAAGACCTGTCAGGTAAAGGTACAAGATCCCAATGATGAATGTAACTGTACTGTATACCTAAAATGTACCAATAAACTCCATGAGGGAAAAAAAACAAAGGCTAGTTAGTAATCAAAATCACAATAATACAAAGGATTTATTGTTTACTAAAGTAATGGAGTTTAGTAGAATCTCTTTAATAAATTGTTCTTTTTCCCTTTGAAAAACAAAACAAAACAAAACAATACAAACATGCTGCTTGCCTTTTCTACTCTCGTTTTCTTATAATTTCACAGTGCAATGTTTGAAAGGCTACATGGCCTAATTTTTGTGTTCATTTCTGGTATGGTAAATACTGCACTGGTAGATAAAACTCACACACTTTAGGGTTATCAGGAATCTAAAACAGTTATTTATTTACCTTTTTTTTTTTTTTGGTACCAGGAATCAAACTCGGGTCCTTGCGCTTGTGAGGCAAGCAGAGGAACCACTGAGCTATATCCCCGGCCCTATTATTTACTTATTTTTATGGTACTAGGGATTGAACTCAGGGTTCTGTACCACTGAGCTACATCCTCATCCCTTTTCATTTTGAGACAAGATCTTGCTAAGTTGCCTAGTTTAGCCGAACTTTCTATCCTCCTTCCTCAGCCTCCCAAGCATCTGGGATTACAAGTGTACACCACTATACCTGGCTGTTTTTCAGTAACTTTTAAGAGTATAAAAGATTTCTGAAGCTGGATGTGGTAGTGCACACCTGTAATCCCAGCCCTTGGGAGGCCAAGCAGGAGAACTGGCACAAATTCGAGGCCAGCCTGGGCTACACGGTGAGTTCAAGGCCAGCCTGAACTGCATAACAAGTCCATCTCAAAAAACCAAACCCAAAACAAAACAAAAACCCACAACCAAAACAAAACAAAAAAAGATATCTGAGGTCAAAATGTTAAGAACTGCCATTTTAGTCTAAATTGTTACTGTATTTATTATGGATCAATCTCTAAAATAAATTTTAGTTGAAAAAATAAGGAGAAATGATTGTGTTTCCTTTAGGTAAGAAAAGGGAGGCCAGTCTTTATGCATATTCTCTCTGTATGAAGTGTGATCATAATATCTGGTAAATGTTTAAATTTTTAAAACTGTATTGCCAAAAAAGACAAATTATGTTAATCTACCTTAAAATACTCCCCTTTGCTTCAAGCACACTCATCCCATCATTCTTGCCACATTCTGAAGCAGCTCTGGATGTGGTCTTTCATGAGTGTTTCCAGAGGTGTGATGACAGTATGGTGAATGATGCTGCCAAGTGCTACCTCATGGCACGTGGCACACACCACCACGCCCAGCTTGTACATAAACTCTTTAAAAACACACTTTTAGGTGTGGTGGTGCATACTTGTAATCCCAGCACTCAGGAGGCTAAGGCAGAAGGATCACTGCAAGTTCAAGGCCAGCCTGGGCTACATGACTAGACCCTGTCTCAAAAAAACAAAAGGGCCAGGGATTTAGCTCAGTGGTTCTGCCACCTGCCTTGAAAGTGTAAGGTTTTGAGTTCTGTCTCTGGTACCAAAACAAACAAGCAAACAAAAAAATGCTTTTAAACCAGATGTGATGACATACTGCAATCCCAGCACTCTGGGAGGCTGAGGCAAGAAGAACACAAGTTTGAGCCCAGCTTGGGCAACTTAGTGAGATCCTGTCTCAAAAAAATTTTAATGTTTTTTAAAAGACTGAGGATATAGCCCAGTGCAAAGGCCCCAAGTTGAGTCCCTAGTACTAGAACAAAAGCCTAGATAAAGGATTTGAAAGTTTTGTTAATGGGTTCACTAATTTTCTTTTCGGTTTGTTTTGGGTTTCACGGATTGGAGGGAGGATCAATGTTATTATTTTGTAGTTAATTGTAAAAGAGGCTTATGTGGGCATACCATATTTCTAATTTCTTTTCTTTCCTTTTTTGTAGGATCAAGAAGTGCAGAAATTACTATGAAATTCTGGGAGTTGCCCGAAATGCCAGTGATGAAGAAATTAAGAAAGCTTATAGAAAACTGGCCCTGAAATTTCACCCTGATAAGAACTGTGCTCCCGGAGCAACAGATGCTTTCAAAGGTCTAATCTTGAATTGATACTTAATTCTGTCCTTGTGATGGTTGGTGATAGCAAATTGGCTTATAAGGCCATATGCATGGTTTTATCCTTGTTGTATTTCTTTTTTGTTTGTTTGTTTGTGACAGGGTCTCCTGTGTAATCTAGGCTGGCCTTGAACTCACTATGTAGCTCAGGCTGGCCTTGAACTTTGTGGAGATTCTCCTGCCTCAGCCTCCTGAGTGCTGGGATTATAGCCATTTGTTGCCATACCTGGCTACTTGTCATACTTCTTAAGTAGTGTTTATCAGCATAGCTCCTTCCTGCTTTCATCTACCTACTCTAATTTCTTTTTAAAAAAAATTTGGTTTCTTTGTATACCTTTTGGAACCATTCATTCATTGATTCAGTGGTTTTCTGTCTCTCTCTCTCTCTTTTTTTTTGGGGGGGGTTTGAGATAGAGTCTCACTATGTAGTTGAAACTGACCTGGAACTCACTGTGTAGTCCAGGCTGGTCTGGAACTCAGTAATCCTCCTGTGATAGCCTCCCCAGTGCTGGGATTATAGACATGCGCCACCACGCCCGGCAATTCAGTGAATATTCATTGAAGACCTTCTGTGTGACAGATGCCAGAGTGAATAAAAGATACTCAGGCATGGTTGCACTTACCTATAATACCAGCATTCTGGGGGCTCAAGTGACTTAGTAAGAACTTGTCTCAAAATAAAAATAAAAAAGGACTGGGGCCAGGGATTTAGCTCAGCAGAATGTGCACCTGCCTAGTAAGCTCAAGATCCTGAGTTCGATCCCTGGTACCAAAAACAAAGACAAAAAAAGGGGGTCAGGGATTTAGCTCAGTGGTGCTGCCACCTGCCTTGCAAGTGCAAGGTCCCAAGTTCGATCCCTGGTACAAAAAAAAAAAAAAAAAAAAGGACTGGGAGTGTTGCTCAGCATAAAGGTCCTTAGTTAAATCCCCACTACCAAAAACCCAAAATACAAAAAAAACAAAAACCCAGACCCAATTCTTGTGGAACTTAAAGGCTGGCAGCTGCTTCCAAGTAGGGTATATAGGCAGTATTCCCAAACTTCTATAATCATAAAACCCTTTATTCATAAAGTCATTATTTTTCTTCTTCTTGGGGGGGGCGTCTTGCCATGTAGCCCAGGCTGGCCTCAAACTCCCAGGAGTCCTCATGCCCAGCAAACCTGGAGGCCTTACACATGCTAGGCAGTGTCCTAGCAGTGAGCCACATCCCCAGCCCTGAAGATTGCATGTTTGATGGATGAGCATGCTGGCTGTTAGGGGACACTTCCCCAACACGTCTGAAAGTTGCAGTGATTGGCTGCTTGAACTAGGGGGTTTTAGTTTGTCTGATCCCAGTGTTGTTTTTGGTTTAGCAAGCTAGGTCATGGGCAATCTCAAGGGCAAACACGTTGGAGGGCTTTGCTGGCCCAAGCATCTCTCTCTGGGTCCTTGTGATACTGCCCAGCACTAGTTAACTCTGGGCCCCCCCTTGCTGCTGCTGTGATCACCCTCAGCACAGCAAAGGCTCTGCTCATGTGCTTGTTGTTGGTCGCAGCGATAGGAAATGCCTTTGCAGTGCTGAGCAATCCTGACAAGAGACTCCGCTATGATGAATATGGTGATGAACAGGTGACTTTCACTGCACCTCGAGGCCGACCTTATAATTATTACAAGGACTTTGAAGCCGACATCACGCCAGAAGAGCTGTTCAATGTCTTCTTTGGAGGACACTTTCCTACAGGTTAGTATCCCAAAATTATGATTCTTTGTTTGTTTGAGGCAGGATCTCACTAAGTATTCAAGACCGGCCTTAAACTCAAGGTGATCCTTCTGCCTCAGCCTCCCCAGTGCTGGGATTATAGGCGTGTGCCATGATGGCCAGTTCAGGATTGAGATTTTTTAAAATATTTATGGTTCTCTGCAAGCCCTATCTTTAAAATCTGAATAAAGGGACAGTGGTTTGGTGGAAAAAGCAAGAATTTGAAATCAGTTGAACAGGAGTTTGAGGCAAATCTCTACCCTCCAACTATGCAGATCATTTTGTCTCTCTCATCCTAGTTCCTCACCTGGAAAATGGGGCTGATAATATCTAGTTCTTAGTTGCTATGAAGATTTTTTTTTTCTGCTATGAAGATTTGATATTTTGAAGTGCCTTTGCCAGGGATTTGGTTCAGTGGTTCTGCTGCCTACCTCGCAAGCGCAAGGACCCTAGTTCGATCCCCGGTGCCAAAAAAATAAAAATAAATAAATAAAAATAAAGTGCCTTATAAATCATTAGCAAAGGGCCGGAGATTTAGCTCAGTGATTCTGCCGCCGCCTGCCTCGCAAGCACAAGGTCCTGAGTTTGATCCCTGGTAAAAAAAAAAAAAAAAAAATCATTAGCAAAATGCCTATTATCACTATTGAAAAATAGAGATTATAAAGATAATTTAGAAGTTGGGCATAGTGGCACATGCCTGTAATTCTAGCTACTTGGCTCAGACAGGAAGATCAGAAGTTTGAGGCCAGCCTATTCAACTTAGCAAGACCCTGTCTCACAATAAAAGACAGAAAGAGCTGGGGATGTAGCTCAGTAGTACAGTGTCTCTGGGTTCAGTCCCAGTACTGAAAAAAAAAAAAAAGTTAGAAAATACCCCCAGAAGATCGGGACTGTGTGGTGCTGGGGATCATATCCAGGGCCTCACGCATGCTAGGCAAGCATTCTACCACTAAGCTATACCACCAGCTCTACAAATTGAATTTTATGAGTTGCTATGAAAGATACCAATGGCAGTCTGATTTTGGGCACAGCAACAGACATGAGCATGCCAGATCGGATTCACGGCCCAAACACTTACTCTCTTCTCATCTTTAGGGTTCTCTCTCCCTCTCACCAGTTGCAAAGAACTTTAAGTGATGTCAGAAGAGCTAAGCACATTCCCTCTCCAGCTGGCTCACTGGCTCACCTACTGTCTTATTTTTCTGCTAGGTAATATAGGCCAATACTCTGTCCTCAAAGAATCTAGCTGGGAGCTAGGACCTTGAAAAAAAAGGAGGACTGTTTGCCATATGCCTATGAAGTGTTTTTCTTTCCTTTCCAGGAAATATTCATATGTTCTCAAATGTGACCGATGACATTCAGTATTACCGCCGGCGGCACCGACATGAGAGAACACAGACACGAGAGGAAGAAGAAGATAAAGCTCAGGTGCCTGGGGAAGTTGTACTGAAACTACCTTTATGAGGCACGGTTAAGTTCTAGAAGTTCACCTTGAGCTGTGGCTGAAATGTGCTTTAGGGGAGCGAGGCAGTGGTGAGAAGAGCTGGGTAATTAGCCCAAATAAGCTGGAATCTACGTCACCCCCGCCCCTTGCCAGTTCTTTTGTTTCTCTCCAGATCTGTTTCCTTGTGGGGCTGTTTTGATCCAAGTATTCTTAAATACAGAAAATAAGAGCCTCCTTCAGAAGATGCATAACTAAAATGGGCTTGAGCTAAGGGATCAAGGGAGTCTCCTGAAGCTCACTGGTGAGAAGACTGCTGGGCCTCAGGACAGACAGGAACCAGGACCTGGGTGCTGTCAGGCTCCCAGGCAGCTGCGCTCTGAGCCAGGTTGTCTCCAGTTTTTCCACTACTCCCAGCCTCTGGTTTGTTCTTTCTAAGCAGTCTGGCCTATTCTACTTCCCCTTGCAAACAGCACAGTGTCTGATAGAAGTGTGAATGGTGACAAACCTCAACCTCAAATCCCCAAGCAAGGAGAATCTGATTGTCCCTAGACTTAAGTGCCCCCAGTCCAGTCATCTGTAGCCAAGGCAAGAGGGTCACATAATACTAACCTGGATCATAGAGCCCAGCCCTGTGGGAATCAAGTCTAGTCCTGTTTATCTCAAGGTATGTGCTGTTGGACCTAGAGGAGGGGCCGCAGGATTAATGGGTGCCAGTCTGGGTCGTGGGTAGGCCTTCTTTAGCCTTCTCAGCCAAAAGGATAAATGTTCCTAGAGAAGCCTTGGGCTTTGTGGATCCTCCTGTACAGTGCATCAGAAATTTGTAGTACTTTGGGATTTCTTTGTATTTGTATTTTTTTTTTTTTCTTGTGGTACTGGGGATCGAACTCGGGTCCTTGCGCTTGCGAGGCAGGCCACCGAACCGCTGAGCTAAATCCTCGGCCCTTTATTTGTATTTTTAATAAGCTTTACATTGATGAAGAGTGATTACACCAACAACTTTTTTGTTTTTAGACGACATATTCTGCATTTATTCAGTTACTTCCGGTTCTTGTGATTGTAATCGTATCTGTCGTTACTCAACTGCTGGCTGCTAACCCTCCATATAGCTTATTCTATAAATCGTAAGTCAAATATTTATAAATCTTTCTCAATAACAATATGGAAATGAAAAATGTGAAGGTTCTGCTGATATTTTACTAACATTTTGTTTAACTTTTCACTGTAGAAAACACTGATTTTATTTATTGGGGGGGGGGTACCGGGGATCAAACTCAGGTCCTTGTGCTTGCAAGGCAGGCATCAGAACCACAGAGCTAAATCCCTGGCCCCACTGATTTTATTTTTAAAGGAACAGCTCAGTGGTTAAGCAGGCTCAAAACCACCAGAGGCAGTCTCAGGAGCTCCTCAGATGGATTGTTTTGTTCTGCAGTGACATCATCTGGTCAGCTGCAAAATAGCAGCAAGTAGTTCTGAAGGATTAAGAGTAATTTGAGGTTCTGGGAGGGGGAATAGGATAAAATAAAATAAAAAATTTTTAAAAGAGTAACTTGAGGTTCAAAGTAAACCCTTATCTCACCACGACAAGGTTAGAAAAGACCCTAGTGAGCCAGGAGTGGTGAGGAAGAAGGTTTGCTGCGAGTTTGAGGCCAGAACTACAAAGGGAAGGCCCTGCCTCAAAAAACTAAAAAGAAAGAAAGAAAAAAGAGAATGAACCCTAAAGAGCTTGCCTTTGGATTACTGAGTTTCTATGGGTCTGAGAGGACAGTAGTTGGGACCCAGAGATAATTTTTAATTTTAAAAAATTGTAGGGCTGGGGATTTAGCTCAGTGGTGCCGCTACCAGCCTTGTAAGCAAAAGGACTCGAGTTCAATCCCCGGTTCAGAAAAAACAATTGTAAGGAGCCAGACATGGTGGCACATACCTATAATCCCAACACTTGGGAGGCTGAGGCAGGAGGACTGCCATGAGTTTGAGCCTGGGGTACATAGAGAAACCCTGTCTCAAAAAGCCCACCCCAAAAGGCAGACTCTCAGGCTCCACTACATATTGATTGAACCAGAAACTCTGGGAGTCCGGACCAAACAATCTGAGTTTTAATAAGTCTTCATTATAATTCTGGTGCACACTATAGTTTGAGAATCACTGGATTAATTCTTTTATTACTCATTAATATGGGCTAATGGACAAAAACCTTTTTTAAAAAAAGAATTTGGACCAGGGATACAGCTCTACAGTTAAGCAGGCACCAGCATGTATGAGGCCCTGGGTTCCACCCTTAGCATTGAAAGAATGGGTGGAATTTATGGGGTTTTACATGACAGGAAGCAGCTTTGCTGGTGATCACTGTAAACTGAGTCTGTCTTCCTTTCACAGAGAGCAAAGCTGAGCTCTAGTTATCAGGTCAGAGAGGAGCTGCTGCAGTCAGGTCACGCTGGCCTGATTCCCTTGATTTCCCAATGTGTGCTCTTTTCCATATCATACTTTGACCTTCTTTCTTGTCAGGCCAGTGAGGCACAGTAGGGCTGCTCTGCTAACCCCTTTCCAGTGTTAGGTGCAAGCAATCATGCCCTAAACACCGAGGTATTTGGTAATATCCTTAAATAGACCAAAAGAGAGGGCCAGGGAAGGGCCACATATAGCTCCATTAGGATTGATGTGCTGGGGCTGGGGATTTAGATTTAGCTCGGTGTTGCTGCCACCTGCCTCACAAGCACAAGGTCCTGAGTTGGATCCCTGGTGCCAAAAAAAACAAAAAAAAAGATGGAGTTTGTCCCGCTTGGGTTTTGTACATTGCTGTCATATGTTTTAACTTGAATTTGAGCTCATTTTAATTTTTTTTAATTTTTTTTGAGCTGGGTGTGGTGGCGCATACCTATAATCTCAGCACTCGGGAGGCTGAGGCAGGAGGATCTGTGAGTTCGAGACCAGCCTGGGCTACATAGTGAGTTCCAGTTCAGTCTCAACTACATAGTGAGACCCTGTCTCAAAAAACAAAACAACAAAACAACAAATTTTTAAATTTTTTGAGACAGGGTCTTGCTATGGATTCTAGTTGGCCTCAAACTCACTGGATGACCCAGAGTGGCCTTAAAGGGAAGCTGGGGTTTCACACGTGGACCACCTGTAAGTGTGGTTAGAGTCGGGACAGCCTCTCAGTGGTCCTGAGCACCGGATACTGTAGGAAGTCTTGGACCCATAGAGTGTTGGGCATCACTGAAACCCTTTGTCTGAGTTTTTGGCAGTTCTCACGTAGCAGCTGTGTGTGATGTACTTTTGTCCTAAGAACTGGTTCTACATTGGGGCAGGCGGTCTGGTACTTTGGAAATAGTTTGCTGTAATGTTAATGAATTCATGTAACTTCTGTTTACCCACAGCCCGCTCTGTCAGGTCCTCTACAATGTACTAATCAAGTTTTTAAGCATTCAGCATTGTACTTCTTACATAGAAAACAGTTAACAATATAAAAGAGAGAAATCCTTGAAGAGAATAAACTTATATGCTGAAGCTGAATTCATAGTAAGAACATGCTCATATAATACTGATAATGATGACTTTTACTATTTTGCTAGGGGAAATAAGAAGTGTTGAGTATAAAATTGTGTCTGTGAGCTGGGCATGGTGGCACACGCTTACAGTCCCTGCACTTGGGAGGCTGAGACAGGAGGATTGCCATAAATTCGAGCCCAGCCTAGGCTTCATAATGAGTTCAAGTCCAGCCTGAACTACAGAGTGAGACCCTGTCTCAAAAAAAAAAAAGGCCAGGCATGGTGGTGCACGCCTGTAATCCCAATACTCGGGAGGCTGAGGCAGGAGGATCGCTGTGAGTTTAAGACCAGCCTGGGCTACATAGTGAGTTACAGGTCAGTCTCAACTACATAGTGAGACCCTGTCTCAAAAAACAAAAAAAAAAAAAAAAAAAAAAAAAAAAAAAAGAAAAAGAAAAAAGGCCTGTAGTTGTAGCTCAGTGTAAGGGCCCTGGGGTTCCTAGTATCACCAGAAAAAAAAAAGTATCTATTTGTTCTCTGTTGAGGTGATGGTGATCATGACATTTGTTACACCAGAGATAAGAATAATGCCAAATATGCTAGTCTCACCTGAACTTGTCTGTTTTAGGACACTAGGCTACACCATTTCTAGAGAAACCCAGAACCTGCAGGTGCCTTACTTTGTGGATAAAAACTTTGACAAGGCCTACAAAGGAGCTTCTCTGCGTGACCTGGAGAAAATAATAGAGAAGGATTACATTGATTACATCCAGACAAGTTGCTGGAAGGAGAAACAGCAAAGTAAGATGCTATCTAAGAAGCTTTTGCTGGGGGCTCTGATACTACCATGAGGCATCCCCAGCTTCCCAAAGTCTCTGCTCTCCTGGTTTGGGTTATATGTTTCTGTGAATAGAGACAGAGGACAGAGGCTCTCGTTTAGGTACTACAAAAGAGAGAGAGGGAGGGAGGGAGGGAGAGAGACACCAGGCAAGGTGGCCCATCCCTGTAATCCCAGCTATTTGGGAGTCTGAGGTAGGAGGATCACAAATTCTAGACCAGCCTGGGCAATTTAGCAAGCCCTGTCCCAGAATAAATGGAGCATCTCAGGGTGCAACCCCCAGTAACACACACACACACACACACACACACACACACACACACA